CCTCCTCCGTTTATATTAAAATCTTAAAAGTGTCGCCATATATGGTGGTGGGAACGTATTTCTGCCTGTGTAAAGGACATGCCTGAAGGCGAATGCCTCCGTCACTGGGACCTGCTGCTCCTTCAAAGAAACACATTTAACATAATGGATCTCTAAATGTTTTATCGCACTCACAGACGGAGGCGCAGGACACAGGGATGAGCCGTGCGCCTCCAACGCTCAATACCATATTAAGTTCTTTTCATGGGAAGATCGCCGGGTAGAAAATGCCGGCAGCGAGGAATCTCAGAAAACTCTATTTATAGGGTTTGAACTTTATGTCCTTGTCCAAGAAGTCATTACTCGCTCGCTCAACCCAAACCACCGAATTCCTCTAATCACCCAAAATCAGAGATCCTCCATCACCAGCCTGCGAAGGTACCAATGAAGAGCGAAGGCACCGAAACACATGAGATGAGTCCGAGTCAGGTGACCAATGTTGTTCGAATCAGGTGACCAGTGCTGTCCGAGTCAGGTGACCAGTGCTGTCCGAGTCAGGTGACCAGTGCTGTCCGAGTTGAAAGTCAACCAGCCAACCATTCTGCTTGGGGCAAGATAGAGGACTGAAGGGGAGGCCGGAGGTCAGATAGAAAACTGAAGGGGAGGACGGAGGTCAGATAGAAGACTGAAGGGAAGGACGGAGGTCAGATAGAAGACTGAAGGGAAGGACGGAGGTCAGATAGAAGACTGAAGGGAAGGACGGAGGTCAGATAGAAGACTGAAGGGAAGGACGGAGGTCAGATAGAAGACTGAAGGGAAGGACGGAGGTCAGATAGAAGACTGAAGGGAAGGACGGAGGTCAGATAGAAGACTGAAGGGAAGGACGGAGGTCAGATAGAAGACTGAAGGGAAGGACGGAGGTCAGATAGAAGACTGAAGGGAAGGACGGAGGTCAGATAGAAGACTGAAGGGAAGGACGGAGGTCAGATAGAAGACTGAAGGGAAGGACGGAGGTCAGATAGAAGACTGAAGATAGAGAAGATAGAGGATAGAGGCACGATCATGCGAAGTGTTGATCCTACATCACCTTGACTCCCCCCATACAACTGTGGAACACTGGAGGTGAGGCTGGAGGTCAGCTTTGAACATACATGGAAGTGGAATGTCTTCTCCTAGCCACGTAATACCTGTTTTTCACCTTGGTTATGATACGGTGGAGATGAGTCCATACAACTGCCCAGAGCCGCCTTATAACGCGGTGATAATGTCAGAAATGAGATTTCCCATGAAAAACCCAAATCTGGACATTTATGAATAGACTGGGCTGTGAAGATGAAGTTCTCCCACATGTGCAGCGTCCGCGTTCCCAGGGGGAATTTAGACTTCCTGCCATCTGCACTGCGTGGGGTTGGACTCTTTCTGCCGTCAATGAGGGAGTAGAAGAGTGCAATGAGATTTCATAGTCCAGAGGGGCCACACAGAGGGCCAACTCCCTGCTGAATGTTTTTGAAGAGGACGGGATAT